AAAAGGTATTTGGCAAATGCAAGCTCAACAAGCACACATATACGAACTGCGCCGTTCGCTACACTAAGAATGATCAGGGAGATGTGATCATGGACCAGGACGAGTGTATTAAACAACTACGACCTATCACACACCTAGAACTGACAGGAGCGGCGGCCGACGCCAAAGCCACGAAACTCATTACCGACATGTTCGTCAGCCTGCGAGGAGCCCTCGCCTATGCCCTTCTTACCCAAATCTGGCTTATGGCATATGTGGTCTCTCTTCAGAAAGTTCAAGAGCCCACCAATCTGCAAGTCAGACGTTTGAATGCTGTGGCGCGAAAGCTGATCAGCAGTCCGAAACGTATCACCTTCCCTCGGATGAAGCCGACGAATGAAGTTGACATCCATAGCGATTCGGGGTATCGGAAGCTTACCGGGGAGGAGGATGACGAGACCAAGGGCTACGGCATGCGCGGGGCCAACGTACTACGGCGAGGAAACTCGCCCCAAGGCAAGTCCGTCGTTCACCTCTGTGACGGACTATGCAAATCACACCGATTACAGGTGAGGTCCAGTTATGCTGCAGAGGCACTTGCAGCCGCACATAACCTTGATGAGTGTTACCCTACGCTCATTACTCTCCACGAGCTTAAGGCAGGGGCTTTGACTCCACGACAACTACGAGACATGCGTGAAGTTGGAGGCCCTGCTATTAAAGTCTCTCTTACCATAGACGCCGAGTCCGTCTGCAAATCTTTATCAAGCAGGGATCTCAAAATACCTACAGAACGGACTCTGCTTGGACATATCAGCTGGATACGTGAGCTCATGGATATAGGTATAGTACATAACGTGCAATGGTGTGATACTAGGGATATGACCGCAGATGGGCATACAAGGGAAGCATCGATCGGGAGCTGCTTCTGGAAGTGATGTCAGGCACTCAGTCATTTAAGTATGACGTGAAACAATTTGTTCCCTTTCGGGGTCCCGAGGACAGAGACAAACCTAAGTCTAATCAATTTTAGTCTGTCCTTGTTGCCCTCGCGGTCCAGTTTGCCAGCACGGGCGCCTACTATAAAGGCGCCCCTTTAGCTGCTCGGAAACGAGCCTTATATTTCACGCCTGGCAACGAGCCGGCTTCTTACAACTCAGGCTCTTTGCCTTAATGCACATTTGCTTGGTGAGGTATGGCCTAATTTTGGCTTACCTCTAACTGAGCCGATAGCCCTTCATTGTTTGAAGGGGCTGTCCTGTATTTGCGTGAAATACTTTGCGAGGAAACTCGCCTTACAGTCTGGTGTTTGACCAGACTGTACGCACTGTTTTCTTTTCTTTGCAAACAGTCGTGCGCGCGATCTTTGCGTGCGACTATGCTCTCCGTCTCCTCCCCTCCCGACTTTAAGGGTAGCTCTTTGGGAGATGTTACAGTATCGGGAGCATAGCTCGCGCGCCGTTGCCATTGGCCCAAGGCACGCGCGCCCTATTTGCCCGGACACCGCGAGTGTTCGCTATGTGCTGGAAAGATCATTACATCGATCTTATCCGATCTTACTCATCCACCCCTCATACTGTACCTTCACAGCAGAGCGATGGATGCAATTTGCCAGGCTATATGCCATATTTGAGCTACCAGGCTCACTTTCGACTAGCTGGCTGCTCCTTGGGTGGCTGCGAACTGCGCAATTGTCGCCAGTTTCGTGGGCTCCTTGGAGGTCCAGTGGAGTCGGGGGCCACGCGGACCCAGACGAGAGCTGGCTGCTCCCTGGGTGGCTGCGAACTGCGCAACTGTCGCCAGTTTCGTGGGCTCCTTGGAGGTCCAGGGGAGTCGGGGGCCACGGGGACCCAGTCGAGACCCCAACACACGGAAGGGGTACTTGGCAGGTCGTGTCCTACGCGGTGCAGTATTCTGTGCATGGGCACCACATTCTCAACATCAGCGCCGGCTTCTTTTACTGGCACTATCCTCTGCCATTTTTTGGATTGGAAGTCTTGATCTACCAACACGGTGACAAGAAACACCTTCACCAGTGAATGGACGGCCGCGAACTCATCCATGGATCATGGCCTGGCGCTCAGTACTACGTTCGGGCCTCGCGGTCCATGCGCCGAGCGGTGCCAGCAAGATGGGCAGCAGGCTTCGGCTGTGCAGCTCGAGCTTTGCCTTGACTCTACGGGCGTCGTCGCCGCCGTGGTGGTCATTAGGCCCGAGCCTCGAGCAGATCACTCACTCTTGCCGCATTTCCTGTGGCTCCGAGACCTCCTGTGTTCAGGCCAGCTATCGGCCCTGAGCTGGGAGGATATCCGCAACATGATTGCGGACTCACGAAGGGTTGCATCGACCGCGCAGCACTCCACTCCGGCAGAGACCACATTCCATATGCCGTCATCCTCAACGCTGCGACCAAGCTCACCGTGCCATCTGGTCATGGGCGCAAGCCCGCCGAGGGAGACAACCAGCAGTGTCCAGTGTGATCGTGCTCCAGTCGGGCCTTGCCAAAACCTATCTACTCCTTCTCATCTCTCGTGTGGAGGTCCCATGTCTTATTTCATGATTGCCAGGATCCACACGCTCCCAGTAGATGTATCGCGTTGCCTTGGCTGGGACAGGTGGCGCGGCAGGCACTGTATGGAACTGGTAGTATGGCAGTTGCAAGTGGAAGGGCATGCGCAGCAGTGCGCGATGCGATGTGTGAACTTGCACGTGCGCATACGTGCACAACATCCGCGTCCGTTTGCATTTTCAATGTGCGAGCCGCGCGCGGCGTCGGTTGCCTGCGCGCTGGCCTGCGCCAGCGGCCCTGCGCGCGGGCCGCGAGCGCGGCGCTGGGCGCCTGCGCGCTCGCCTGCGCCAGCCGGCCCTTCGCGGGGCATGCGCTCGCGCCCGAAGAGGCGACGCGCGTGGCCATGCCAGAGGAGCAGGTCGCCGCGACGAAGCGGCCAGCCACGCCATCATCTCCAGAGGCGAGCGCCAGCTCGCCTCCACGGCGCCAGAGCAGAGCGCCCGTCAAGGGCGTTCCTCTCCAGCCAGGAAGGATGGTTCCTCGCCGCCGAGGATGCCGCCCACGGCGCCGCCGCCACCTGCAGCAGAGTCGAAGCGGCGTGCCCATCCCATCGTGCGCCACCTCCACCACGTTGCCTTCACCATCGCCGCGAAGGAGGTCGCCGCTGCAGCAGCCTGGGGGGCCACGCCGAGGTGCCGCGCCGCCGCAGCCGCGAAGACCACGTGGCCCCTTCGCCTCCCGGCGCGCGCCGCCGCCAGCGCAGCCCCCCAGCGATGCGAGGCCGTGGCAGCGCTGCCCCTCGGCCCTCGGCATCGCCCCAGCCGTCGCCGCCTCCGCGGCTGGGTGCGCCCGCGGATGGCCGCGAGGAGCAAGTCGAGGGCGCCTGTGCTTCCGCTGGAAGCGTTCGAGGAGGCCATCGCGTACTCGGGCGGTGGACAAGAAGGCTGCGTGGTATCGTGCTCAGGAAGTCGCGGCGCGACCCCTCTCTCCTGACGAGCTGCGCGATGCTGTCAAGGTCGCCAAGCACCTCCGCTGCGAGTGGCGCGGGAGCAAGCCTCTCCCCGAGCACGTCGCAAAGCTCGTGCTCTACATCGACGGCTGCATGGACCTGGAGCAGCGCGTGGCGTTCGGCCGCGAGGTGTGCGTCGCGAGCGGGCAGTGCAACGTCGACCCCGACGGGCCCCTCGCGGTCGAGGGGGAGACCGCGCGCCGTCCGTCATGGTCATCGCCCAGCGCTTGGCGGCGCGCTGGGTCCTCCCACTAACCCGTTACTGCGCCTTGCGTGCCGCCCGCGCTGGAGGCTTGAGGCCGGGCCGCCCTGGCCCAGCATCTTCGAGGGCCCATGCGGGCCAGGGGCGCCCGGGCCCAGGAATGCCGGCCTCGGCTTCGCTCTCGGTCGCCTGAAGCGAAGAGCAGGCCGTCCCAGCCAGAGCCGGAGGGCAAGCCTCCACTGCCCCTTGGGCCGCCCCAGTGCATGCTGCGCCAGCTCCTGGGTGCCAAGTCGCCGACGTGCGCCCGTTCAGGCCTGACGCGGGATCCCGGGCACCTATCGGCAGCCGTGGCCCTGCGCAGCGCCGCCAGTCCAAGCGCGGCAGCAAGAGCAGCAGGCACGGCGAGGACAGGAAGACGAGCTCCCGCGGCCGAGCTCGCAAGGGCTCCCAAGAAAACGCGCTGCTGTTGTCTCGGCGGCCAGACGGCGCGGGGCCAGTGGCGGGCGGCGGGGCACCAGTCGAGGAAGGACACGGCCGCCGACGACGATGACGAGGAGAAGGTCGCGCCCGCTGAGGGCGCTGAGGAGTCCGAAGCTGACGACGCCGCGGCGGGCTCGGACAGGCCTCGCACCGCTCTCTCGGTGGGAGACGTGGATTGGGTGGACGTCGACTGCGCGGCGAGGCGTGGCGCAGGATGCCATGTTCCGCGCCCCCCGAGGAAAATGTCAACCTTCTTTCCCAGATCCATTCTACCAGGCCGAGGTCTCGTCTTATCTCTCGTTCCCTCATCCTCGCAGGTCGCGTGTTCGAGCTTCAATTTGACTTTCGGCCCCTCGGTCCGGGGCTCGCGCCCCTCTCGCGCGCGCGCGCAATCGCAGCGCCTGGTTAGCCGCCTCGCGCCGCTCAGGTGAGCTGCTCGATGCCGTTCTTAAGAGCACGAGCGTGCCCTCGGAGCGCAGTCAGTGAGCACGCGCTCCGCTGGCCTCGCGCGCGCCCCCCCAGGTAGCGGCCATGTATCTTGTGCGAAATCGGCAGATGCGCGAGGGTTGGACAGTTCTGGCATTCCCTCTTTCTCGGTTCCTATGCTCCGCCAGAATTGTTCGATCGCCCGCGCAATTCCGGTTCGAATAGGATGCTTGGCTGCTATCTGGGCTCGCAGCTCTGGAACGCATGCGCCTGATATTATGGGGAACACGTCAGTTTTACCGCCGCCATGCTGTCTTACCAGCCACCAGCCCCCGCAATTCTACTCCCCGCCTCTCCCCCCGCATCCTCCCGCCCCCCCCCCCCCCGCGTGCCAGGGCGCGGGGCGGCTGAGGCCTTCCGCGAGGCAGAGGGGTGCGGCCAGCCCGGGGTTGAGCACTACATGCGGAGGCCAGCGGCCGCTGGTTCGAGGGGCAGGAGGAGGGAGGAGGAGTTTTCAGAGGAGCGGGAGGAGGGAGGGGGAAACGGAGGGAGGGAAGGAGAGAGGATGGGCAAGAGGAGGGTCAGGAGCAGGAAGCGGGGAAAGAAGACCAGTGCAAACCCAAGACGCACCAACCAAGGGAGTTCACGGTTCGGTCAGTTCGGTTGCATCGCAGTCGGTTGCGTTCGGTCGGTTCGGTTCGGTCGGTCATCGTGGCGTAGCCTCGTCGTTGCGCCATTGATGTTGTCTTCGGCCTTTCGATTTCGGTCAGTTCCGATTTCGTTGTCGGCTCGGCCGGTTTTCGGTTTGCTGTCGCCTCGGACGGTTTTGCCAACGATGTTGCAATACATTTCGTTCAGAATTCCCATTTGATAGGTCCCTACCACAATTTGTTTTCAGTGCGGGGGGTGCCCCGTTGAAAATTAACCGTCCGAGAGTCGTTACTCGCGCCAAGACACCAGTCTTGCAATTTCAGAGTGGGGAATCAACTTGAATGTTCCTTCCTGGCGTTCCCGAATCGCGCCAGAACGCCATTCCAGGGACTAGGAAGAGGAGGAGGAGGAGGAGGAGGAGGAGGAGGAGGAGGAGGAAAAGGAGGATGAGGAAGATGAGGATGAGGAGGAGGAAGATGAGGAGGAGCGGAGGATGAAGAGGAGGAGGAGGAGGAGGAGGAGTTTGGGAGCGGAGGAAGATGAGGTCTTGGAGGGGGAAGGCATTTGGTCGTTTCGTTTTTTGCGGCCCCTCCCAGGGCGTCGTCGTCGCTACGGCGGGATTCGCCTCGTTAGGTTTTGTTAGTTCGCTAGTTCGTGTTAGTTCGCCAGTTGGTGTCTCTTTGATTGTTTGTTTGTTTGTCTGCTTGCTTGCTTGCTTGCTTGCTTCTTATTTTGTCAGTTTGTCTGTTTGTTTCTCTGTGTGTGTGTGTGTTTGTGTGTGTGTGTGTGTGTGTGTGTGTGTGTGTGTGTGTGTGTGTGTGTGCGGCGGGCTGTGTGTATATATGTGTGTATATGTCTAAATGTTGGAAACGGATGTCAAGTGCCGTTGCACTCTAGAAGCATGTCCTTTTTGTTTGAAGGGTGCTCCATTTTCAGCACCCGATCGTCTTTGGAAACGGAACCTCAGCTCAGGCCCGATGGCCAACATTTTTTTGAGAACATCTGTTTGACGCGGAACATCACGTTTCCATGGGGTGTAGAATTGCGGAGGTGCGCATGGGTCCCAAGAGATTTTCAGATCTTTTGGGCCATGCCCTGTGCTACTCTGTGGGCCACGCCCGCGCCGATACCTTGTCCACACGTTGGGCGAATGTGCACCCGTAGGATGGCCTCGCTGAGATGCGGCGGAATCAGGCGGCTAAGCTTGTGCGGTATTCGAGGCGCAATCTGCGGAGATTCAGAGGCCGCCCATTGTCAGCATAATCTCTTCCTCTTCCGTGCCCCTCCTCGCGTTACTTCCAAAGTCCCTCGTTCAGTGTTGGAAGCGCTCCCGGAAAGGGCAGCACACGACATTACATTCGACCCGAAGGCCCATCCGGTTATGTGGGCGATTTGCTGGCACTTTCGCAAAAGCAAATAGGATTCCGTAGGCACGAACCCCTGACTCAGCACTCCGACGCAATGGAAATGTTGTGAGGAGGGTGGCCCACTTTGTGTTGGGTCGGGGTTGTACAGTGTTCTTCTCAGATGACAGAGGGCGCATACGCCAGTTTTGTGCCCAGGTTTGGTCTGGTCAGGACGTGCGTATGTGTGTATGTGTGTGTGAGTTAAGAAATCGGCGTCCCCCGAAACCTGGTTTCAGTTTGCACACGATTTGATTGGCTTGTAAGGTAGATCGCGCGCACGGGCGCAAGGAGGAGTCGATGAGGGAGGAGGAGGAGGAGGAGGAGGAGGAGGAGGAGTAGCAGGAGCAGGAGCAGGAGCAGGAGCAGGAGGAGGAGGAGGAGGAGGGGGAAGATGAGGAGAGCCAGTTTAAACCCAAGACGCATCCACGATGTTGCAGTCAACCCTCCAAGATTCCATTTCAGAAGTCTTACACGAGTTTGTTTTCATTGCAGGACATGCCCCATCCAAAGACAGCTGTATTGTACTCGTCAATCCTGCAACGACGCGAATCAGCGTGACTGTTGCGACCTGACTTTTAGGTCGTACCAGAACACCGTGTATGGGACGTCAGCACCGCGGATCATCGTGACTGTTGCGTCCTGACAGTCGTCGGTCGTGACGGCACATTATTCGCGTGATTTCAGTTATAGATTTTTGAGACGAATGTGCGCGGCGCTGGAGCGAGAGCCACGTTTTGAAAAGGAACAGGCCTCCATCATTGAAGCCGTGGCAACTTGAAAAAACGACTGTGCGCGGCGCTCAGGCGAGAGCTACATTTTGAAAACGACATGTGCTCCATCTCTGAAGCAGTTGCAAACTGCAAGCTCCGAAGTCATGAGCGGCAAGGAAGTCTTAGACGCAACGCACGGCCCGGACTACCAACACGTCTGCGACAGGGAGGGTTTGTTAATAAGGAAGAGGGACGGAGTCGAGGAGGGAGGAGTTCTCCGTGGCCCTAAAGAGGTCTCCGGAGGTCTTCGCAGGCCTCCAGAGGACGGGGCGTCGCCACAAGAAGATTTCCCCCTACATATCATTTTTGTTTTCCCACCTCTCTGTGCCGGCACGGTGCGTCATCACAAGAAGATTTCCTGCAGACGCTCCCGCCGCCACGGAGGCTTTGGAGGTCTTTGGAGGACGGAACAGAAGCCAAACCTCACATAGACCTTCGACCCTCGACCTTCTCGCCCCCACCAGGTCAGGAGCGAAGGAAGGACGTTCACGTACACGAATCCACACTGGTTTCGAGAGTTCGCATTGCGCGAATGTTCGTATCACGCGGCCGGTCTCGCGTTTCAAGGGACTGTGTTCATGTACATAGCTGGGCGCGTACGTCCTTTGTGGGCTCCCTACCCGGGGCCGCGCGCCCAAGGCGCGACGGCATGCCGCTCGGGATCGACGTCATGCAGCCCCCCGGCGGCGGCTTCGGCGGCGGAGGCGCGCTCCTCGGAGCCGCCGCCGCGCGGGCGGTCGTCGGGCAGCCACCGGGCGCGCGGCGGCCTCGATGACGATGACGATGACGACGACGGCGTCGATGATGATGATGACGACGATGGCGACGACGATAACGATGATTATGACGATGATGTTGATGACGACGCCGATGACGATGACGATGACGATGACGATGACGATGACGATGATGATGGTGGTGGTGATGATGATGCTGATGATGATAGTGATAGTTATGATGATGAATTATGATGGTCTTGTGGTGATGATACTGCTGATGGCCTGTGATAGTGAGTATGATGTTGATGATGACGAAGTTTACGATGACCGTGCCAACGATAACGTTGACGGTGATGCTCGTGGTAGTGATGCCCAGAAGGAGGGGCAGGTGGAGGAGGAGCAGGCAGTGGCTAGCTCTATGCGCGAGAACAGGGTGGCTGCTGTTCAATCTTCCAGCGGAATCAACAGCACATTAAGGCAACCCAAGCCAATGCGATCAAGGTGTTGCGCCGTACGCACCACAGTGCATTGAACATCAGCACGCCGCCGTAACCCTTGACAGCTTGCTCCCTTACAATCCTCAGCGGGGTTGCAGCTTTCTATAGGCTTCAGCCCGTCTGCAGTCTGATCTCTAGCTTGCCCTCACTTTGTCTTGTCTTTGGCGAAGCTTCTGGTACCAGGGTTACGCTGCGTTCAGTCGAGGTATGTTGCTGCTCGCTTGCGTGCTTGAGTGCTTGTTTGCTTGACACCTCATCATATCTCGTCGCTGTCATCACCGCCGTCATCACGTCTTCACATTTGCGTGCGCGTACATACACACATACACATTTATATATATGGACGTATGTTATACATCTGTATGTATGTATGTATGTATGTATGTATGTATGTATGTATGTATGTATGTATGTATCTATATATATATATATCAGAGTGGGGGGCGGGCGAACGTTCATTCACAGTCCCTGGGTGCGTTGCCGAAATTGGATTTCGATGCGGATTCTTGTTGTTGTTGTGGTTGTTGTTGTTGTTGTTGTTGCTCTTATTGATGTTGTTGATGTTGATGTCGTTTTTTTTTTTTTTTTTTTTTGTTCGTCTGGTTCTTCTTAGTATTATTGATATCCTGTTATTGCTGTCGTTATTGCTTCGGTTGTTGTTGTTGTGGTTGTTGCTGCTGCTACTGTTGTTGTTGTTGTTGTTGTTGTTGTTGTTGTGGTTGTTGCTGCTGCTACGGTTGTTGTTGTTGTTGTTGTTGTTGTTGTTGTTGTTGTGGTTGTTGTTGTTGTTGTTGTTGTGGTTGTTCTCGTCGTAGTTTTCGTTTTCGTTTGTCTGTTTGATTGTTTGTTTGTTGTTTGGCGTAGTCCCCCCCGCGACCCGGCCCGCGACCCACCCGCGACCCACCCCGCGACCCGCCCACGACCCACCCGCGACCCACCGGCGACCCACCCCACGACCCACCCGCGACCCATCCGCGACCCACCCTGCGACCCGCCCGCGACCCACCCGCGACCCCCCACGACCCACCCGCGACCCCCCCGTGACCCACCCGTGACCCGCCCGCGACCCATACGCGACCCCCCCACGATTCACCCGCGACCCACCTCGCGACCCACCCACATTGCTTTAACGAAAAATCGGCGCCTGCGGCGGGCTTGTTCAGCGCGTCGCAGACTGCCGACGTCCCCGCCGCCCCCTCACTCTTATCCGCGACTGCGGGGTGCACACATCTAATGTATTCCTCTTCGAATATTCTGAAAGCGAAAACCCCCCCCTGACCCCCCCCCGTACATAAATTCGGCCCTGGGCGCTCCCACCGACGTCAAATTCGAATTTCGGTTTCGGGAGCCTCCCCCGGCCATCCCTGGACGGTCCCGCAAAGCCCCAAGGCGGCCCAATACCGCTCCAGAACGGCTCATGAGCGCTCAAAGAGGCTTCAAGGTGGCTTCAGGACGGCCCAAGATGCTCTCAAGACGGCCCAAGAGGCCCCCAAGAAGACCCCCAAGAGGTTACAATCGTCCCATTCCCGTCGGAAAACGTACATTTTTAGCATATCCGCTTCTTTGGCCTTCACCGCGTCCAAGACGGGCCAATAGGCTCCCAAGATCGCCCCAGGACGGCCCAAAAAGCCCCCAAGGGAGCCCCAAGACAGCCCAAAAGGGTTCCAAAACGACCCAAGAGAGCCCCAAGACGACCCCAAAAACCATCAAAAGGCTTCCAGAAAGCCCCAAGAAGGCCGCACGGGGCCCCCAAGAAGAACCAAGAGGGGCCCAAGACGGCCCAAGCCCCCCCCAGGACGGCCCAAAAGGGTCCCGGGACGGCCCTGCCCTGGAGGGCCGCCAGACAGCCCAAAAGAGCTTCAAAAGGAGCCCCCCGAGAGCCCCGAGAAGCCATACCCCTATCAGCCATATGAGGCCTGTCGGCCCCACAAGCCCTACGACCACCATGGTGCCTCATGGTGCCCCATGAGCCCTGTGAGGCCTGGGAGCCCTAACACCTCCAGAGCTCTCACCCCGCACGCCGCGAGACCCCGAAGGGCCCCCCCAATTCATAATCCAGATCACGGGTGTGCCGCCACGGACGGTGCGGCGGCATGCACGCGTCGGCTCTTCACCGTCGGTGGAGTGGTGAAGCGGCATGCATACGTCGGCTCTTCACCGTCGATGGAGCTCCCTGTGGGGCGCGGTCCATGTGAGGGGACACTCAGCACACATGTGGTGACGTAGCGTTCTGCGGATCCTCCTAGGAAGACGGACCCCAGGGGCCCCATGAGGGCCACGAGACAGCCGAAGGTGCCCCACTGCGAATCCTCCACTCAGAGCCGCAGGTGAAGCCCGCTCTCCCGGGGGAGAGGCGCACGAGGAGAGGCGAAGGAGCAAGGAGGTCGAAGGAGGGAGGAGGAGGAGGGAAGCAGGAAGAGGCTGGACGAGAAGGAGGACAATCCACCACCCAAACCCGACGATACAGTTCTCGACGTTTCTGCCTGTCGGGACCGTTTTCGGATCACCCGTCCAAACGCGATCTGGCATCGGGGACCGGTTCTGAGCCGATGTTGATCGTCCACGGCAACAGCCAACGAACAACAGTCATTCATTCTAGCGAGCTCGTTGTTACTGCTTCCCTGCGCCGCAGCACCAGCTCCCCTCATATCTCCATCGACGACGCCTCTGACCTTCCCTCCCTATGTCTTTCGTGACCTCTCTTGCCCTTTGTGTCCCTCCCTGCCTCCTTCGCTCCTTCTCTCCACTGCCCGCTCCTGCAACCTCTTCCCTGTCTCCCTTTTGGCTCCAGGCGCCTTCGGCCCCCGCTTGACAGCGCTTCCTGTCTCCGCCGCCCCGTGGCCGAAAAGCGGAAGCACCGAGCCACCGCTCCTACCCGGGAAATCCCCTTCGACGATTCCATCTTCACGGCGTCTTGGGCTGGCCTTTCCGCTCCGCGCGGGGAACTCGGCCTGCCCCAGCGCGGCAACTGCGTCGCCTTCTCGCTCGATTGGTCCCGAGGTGGGCGCCGTTGGCTGCCGAGGGGGCCCTTTTGGGCCCGTCTTTCGCCTGAACTGAGGTCCGCCGCCTGCGGGCGGAGGTCGCCCAGCTACAAGCGTTGCTCGACGCCGACGCCGACGCGGCCAAGCTCCTCAGGCAGCCCCTGCTGCCGGTAACCCCGTGGTGCCCCCGCCAGATCTGGCGCCGAATGCTGCGCCCGGGGCAGACCGCGACGGCGACGGCCTCTCGAGCGAACGCGTTTTTTGGCAGCCCCCTGCCGCGTTCGTGGACGTCGCCGCGCCCCTGTCCGCGGACGCTGCGCCCCCTGCCCCCGCGTGGTCGCGCATCTCCGAGCGGGCAGACGCCGAAGCATTTCTTTACGCAGAGACTGTTCTGACGTCCGTGCTGGAGCACGACGCCGACATTTTCGGATGGATTGCGCTCATGCACGTGGCGCCTTGGCGCCGCGTGGTGCTTGCCTTCGCGAAATTTGTCTCCTCCCGCGCCGCCGCCTTCGCGATGCAGGGCGCCGCGGACGTGGTTCACCACTTGAGTCAGCGCTTCAAGCCCGGGGGGTCGCGGTTCGATACCCGCCGCCCTGTCGGCGGGTTGGCCGCGCTGCAGGAGCTCGTCGACGATGGCGCCAGCATGGCTGCTGTGCGCAATTTCGTGGGCAAGTTCACCGCGACGCCGCCTGCCACCTGGGGCCCCGGTGTCCTCCGCGAACCGCTGGAGTCGCGGGAACCGAAACTCATGCACCTCCACGCTGGGTGCAAATACTTTCGGGGGCACACGGTTCGACAGCTCTTCTTCCGCGCGTTCCGCCGCGACGGTCGCTGCGCGTGGGGCGAGCTGGACTGGGGAGTCATCGGCGAGCTCCTCCCGGGGGCCGCCGACGCGCCGCCGAGGTCGGCGTCGTCGGGTGCGACGACGCAGTCCGTGCGATCGCCTACGTCAGCTCCGCGTTCGGCGATGTCCGGCTGCTGGCGCTGGCCGACCTCAGCGTGGCCCTCTGTTTCCGCCCTCAGGCGCCGCGGCCTCGCATCGACCGCGCTGTCCCTTTGGAGCTTCCTGAGTGGCCTCCTCAACTGGTCTTCCCCTCTGCCGCTCTCTCCAAAAACCTACCCCCATCCTCCCCTTCATCCTGTAAGCCCTATGGGCCCCATGGGCCCGATGGCCACCGCGAACCCGAGTGCTCCTATGAGCCCTAGGAGCCCAATGAGCCTTAGGGGCCCTACGAGCCCATGAGCTCTCCAAGCTCCATGGGCCCTATGAGCCGGATGAGCCCGTTGACGCCTATGAGCACCAGAAGCCCGATGAACTCTATGAGCTCACGAGCCCCAGGGGCCCCATGAACTCAATGGGCCGATCCCCATGCCCCCCCGACCCTCCATGACACCATAGGAGGGCGATGACCCCTATGAGGCAGGCCTGTGCGTCTCGTGCGCCTTAGAGCCCCTCAGCGCTAAGAGCCGCGAAGCCTTGCGAGACCCATGGGCCCCCCCTTCTGAGCCCTGCGAGCCCAGTGAACCGTATGCGGCCTATGGGCCCAATGAGCCCTATGGCCCCGACTTGCCCCTTCGCCCCAATCGGTCCATGAGCCCTGCGAGGCCTGCGCGCTCTGCTAGCGCCTATGGCCCCGAGGAGTATTGCGAGCTCCATGAGCCAAATGGCCCCCGAGAGCTGGTGACTCCAAGGAGCCCCAGGACCCCTATGAGCACCGTGGGCCCCCGATGACCCCCATGACTTGAGGTTTCCCAACTCTCACAATAAGAGCATTTCTATCGGCGGAGGAAAAGAATTCGGCCAGAGCGCCGACAAAAAAAACAAAAAAACAAAGCAAACAAACAAATAATTCAAATAAATAAATACATGCAATACTTATATACATCAATTCAGAATAAGCGTACGCAACACCCATGCATCATAACCCCAGCAATATATCATATACAGGGAACGAACACGTTCGGCAGCGAAATCACGAACACTTCCATACATTTACACATATACATATAATTGTAACTATAGACATTCATATATACATATGTATATATATATATGTATGTATATATACGTGCATTGTAGGCCATGTAGTTGTTCAAGCCCAAGGACAGAGGACAGACGACTACAAGTGCTGTCAGGGCAGTCCAATTCGTGCCTCGGAGGCACGGTGGCGGATGTTCCATCCCTGATACCTCGCTCCCCCCTCCCTCCCTTCCGCCATGTTCCTCCCCCTGCCTCCATCCCCCCCCCTCTTCCTCCTTCTCCTCCTTTTCCCTCCCCTCCCTCCACCTTCTTCTTATATGCGTGCCCGCGTCCCCTCCCCTCCTTCCTTCTTCCTTCCCCCTTCTCTGTCCATTTGTTCCCCCCCTCTCTCCGTCCCCTTTTTCCTTCTCCCTCCTTGCTGTCCGTGCTCCTCTTCCTCCTCATCCTCGTCTTCCTTCTCCCTCGCCCTCCTCCATTCGGAGGGCCATTAGGCCCAATGTCCATTTTGGACTTGGCCTCAGGAGGCCTCGGCCTTTTCCCCTGCGCGGATGGGGAAGGGCCGCCTCCAGGCGGCGCCATCGCGCGCGGCGCCGTCGCCGATGGCGCAATCGCGCGCGGCGCCCGCCTGCCGCGCCCAGCGGCCCAGCCGCAGTGGGCTGTTGGCGCTCTCGGCGGCCCGCCGCGACTGCCCGAGCGCCGGCGCCGCGCTGGCGCCTTCGTGGGCGCTCGCCCCGCGGCGCGGCTGCGACTCCCCCGCGCAGCCCGCTCCAGGCCCGTGCTCCTGCTCTTCCTCATCGTCTTATTTTCTCCTCCTCCCCCTACGTGCTTCTGTTGGTCCGCCTCTCCTCCTCGTCCTCTTCCTTTTCCTCCTGCTCCTCCTCCTCCTCCTCCTCCTCCTCCTCCTCCCCCCCCTCCTCCCCCTCCCCCCTTTTTCCCCGCCCCCGTCTTCCAGCGCCCGGCGCCCCTCCGCTTCCCGGCGCCCCGCCGCAGGCCCGCAGCCAGCAAGCGGGGCATCGACGCATTCGTGGCCAAGCACAATGCTTGGCAGCTCCGCCGAGGCGACAAGGTGGTGCTGAAAGGCGCCACCAAACGGCCCGATTGGGGCGGGAAGGCAACGGGGGATCCGAGAGGGGGCCCGCAATGGAGGGGGGCGTTGGAGGATGAGGAGTCGACGGAGCAGGAGGGGGAAGAGGCGGGAGAGAAGGAGGAGGAGGAGGAAGAGGAGAAGGAACAGGAGGAGGAGGAACGCCTGGGTTCTTGTAGGACGTGGAGAACGAGGAGGTGGATGATGAGGAGGACGAGGGGGGGGCGGAGGAGGAGGAGGAGGAGGCGGAGGACGAGGAGGATGATGATGATGATGATGAGGAGGAGGAGGAGGAGGAGGAGGAGGAGGAGGAGGAGGATTCCCAGGCATGGGGCGCCCGGGCGCTGCAGAGGCTCACGTGCAGAAACATAGGTGGGCGCGGCGGGCGCCGAAAGGAGCGCTCGACCAATCAAAACGCGTTGAGCCACGCGACGAGGGAGACAGACATGGCGTCCGCGTCCGCCCAGCTCCACCAGGATATCCCCCTCCCTCTCCCCTCTCTGCGCTGCCCGTCATTCTACGCTGTCCTCATCCTCCTCGTCGCTGCTCTTCTCCCCTCCATCTCCTCTTCGTCATCCTTATCCTACTCCTTCTTCATTTTCACCCTCGTCAGTGTACCCCCCTATTAGTTGTTCTCTCCTCATCTCGCTGCCTCCCCCCCATCTTTCCACGGTTTTCCCATCGCTCTACTTTCCATTATCCTGCCCTCCCATTCTCTTCCTTCTCGACAGCGTCGCCATGTTGTCGGGCCCCCCCATCCCCCGGCCCCCCCGCCAGGACTTGATGGCTTCTGCTGTCGCCAAGGTGATCGACGATCGCGCCAGCGGCAGCGCATGCGTCTTCATCGGCCGCCATCATGACGGCAGCGGATGTGGGAGAAGGGATGAGGGATGGGGCAGGGAAGGGATGACGGACGAGGGTGGATTAGCGATGAGTGTGCATGGATGGGGTCAGATTTAGAGGGGGGCGGGACACGGCGAGGGGGGGGGTCCTACCTTCCTCTTGTGCCGCTTCCGCTTTCTCCACCCCTCCTCCCCCGCCTGCTGCTTCTCCGCGCAGTCGTTCCCTCTCTCTTCCTCGCTCCGCCTCGCCCCGCGTCGCCCGCCTCGTTCCACCTCTCTCTGCCTCGCTCCACAGGTTTCCGTCGCTCCCCGTGCTCGTTTCTCCTCGCTTCGCCTCGCTCTACCTCGCTCCACCTCGCGCCCCTCTCTCCTCGTCGCACCCCCCTTCTTGCTGCTCACTTCTTCTTAATCCTCACCCGTCGCCCCCCCCCGCCCCTAAATGTGCAATCGTCGCGTGTCTCCCCCTATGCTCGTCGCCCGTCCACGCTCCTCCCGCGCCGCCCTCTCAGGCACTCCTGTCCGCCTCGCTTTCGGCGCCGTGCAGCGCGTCCTGGAGCCCCTGGCGCGCTATCTACGCGGCTCCGCCGCGCCCGGGACCCCCGACGACGGCGACGACGACGACGACGACTGCGACGACGGCGACGACGACGAGGGCGTCGACGACGACGACCACAACGTCGACAACGCCTGGCGGCGGCGGGGCGCCGAGGACGACGGCGGCGGCGACGACGACGATGCCGGCGGCGACGACCGCGACGACGACGACGGCGCAGCGGCGGTGGAGGTGGAGACGGCGACGGATGCATGCATCGCGGGGTCTCTGCGCGTCAGGGCGCGCGGGTTTTGTGATGCAGGACGGGCGCTGGCGTCTATGGCCGCTGCAGAAGATGCGCGACGAGGGCCATTTCAGCAGAAAGGCGCCTGGCGCGGGCGTCATGGATGTCTTCGCGCAGGCTGCCCAGCGGGGGATTGGGAAGTCGTCGTCGTCGCCGCCGCCGCCGCTGTTTTGCAGTCGTCGTCTTCGTCGTCGTCGTCGTCGTCGAGCGGGGTGTGGGGGGGGAACAGGAGGAGGATGAGGGCGGGGGGCGGAGTCCAGGCTGCGGACTTCCACGTGCTGGACCGCGAGGGGGCCGTCTTCGGCGGGAAGGTGCTCGTCGGGCCCGTCCTCCTGGAATGCGGCACTGCTTCGTGCGTCGACCAGGCTTTGGAGGGCGCCCTTCCGAGTCTGACCACGACGAAGGCGAGCCTGGGCCTGGGCCGACGAGGAGGAGAGGGGGGGGGGCAGGAGGAGGAGGCGGAGGAGCAGGAGGAGGAGGAGTAACAGGAGCAGGAGGAGGCGGAGGAGGAGGAGGCGGGCGAGGGAGGGTCAGGGGGGGCTCTCGCCACCACGGATGGATTCGCCGACGGCGGCGACGACAGACGACGACATACGACGACATACGACGACGAAAGACGACGACAGACGACGACGACAGACGATGACGACGACAGACGACGACCACGACAGACGACGACGACAGACGACGACGACAGACGACGACGACGTAGACGACGACGACGACGACGACGAGAGACGACGACGACGACGACGACGAGAGACGACGACGACGACGAGAGACGACGACGACGACGACGACGAGTGACGACGACGACGAGAGACGACGACGACGACGACGACGACGACGACGACGACGAGACGACGACGACGACGAGAGACGACGACGACAGACGATGACGATGACCACGCGCAGGCGATCGAGATGGCAGGCAGAACGAAGTTCGTCATATGGTCGGAGAACCCTGACGACTGCAAGCCGAACAGGCGGAAGAGGTTGTTCACCATCGAGACTTTTGCGGGCGCGCCGAACATCCTAGTCTCGCCGCTGCCCGGGTGCGTCATACACACCATGCACAGGCGGCGCAGCCGGTGAAGACGGGGGGAGGCAGGAATGGTTTACGTATGTGAAGGTTCTTGGAGGTGGCGTCGCGACAGGATGCCTTTCAGCTGCTGCGCCTCGTCGAGAGCTGCCTCGGGGTGCCCGAGTTTTCTTGCGAGCAGGTGCCCGAACGGATTGGGGGTCGGGAGCTGGGTCGGATCGGGCTCGGTAGGACTGATAGATCAGAGAGGTGGGATTCATAGGTGAGTATGGCGTCGAAGTAAACCCGCGCCTCCCCGAGGCTGATGGTCGTCCTGACGGGCGAGTCCAAGCTGATCGGGGACGCGCACGCGGTGGCGTTCGTCCTCGGCGGCTCCACTCGCAGGGATGCGTTCCTCCAGGGCCTCCGGCGACTGCTCAACGAGCGCCTGGAGTTCGAGCAGAAGCTGCAGCCGCTGGCCTCGTGGGCATCCCACGCGAAGACGTTGCTCGACCACTCGCTGGGGCGCGCGGCTTGGATTCGCGGCCGCCTGGATTCCCAGGGCATGCGCGCGAGCGCGTAGGCCAGGACAGCCGGGGGGGACGAAGGAGTGGCGGAGGCGATGAGGAAGCCCAAGATGGGGGCTGGCATGGGAGGAGAAGGAGTAGCTTGAGGATTTGTGAACGCTTCGCGAATCCCCGCCAGCCCATCCAGAAACGATGTCCAGAGAAATTGCGTCGATCAAGGAAATGGGCACTGCGCAGAGGATGCCATTATTAGACATCTTAGGATACCTTGAGCCATCTTGGAGGTCATCTTGGCTCTCGCAGGCGCTCTTGGAGTCATCTCAATCAGTGCCTTCCCCCCCCCAAGAGGCCATTATGTGGCTAAAACCAGTGTGAAACCAATGATTTGGCATTCCCGCTGAGACCTCTTGGCGCATCTTGGGTGCCTCTGGGGGGCCTCTGGGGGGCTTCTTGGAGCCTCTTGGGGGTCTCTTGGCAGCTTTGGGGGGGGGGGGGGGGGGGGGGGGGCATCCTGGGGGCCCTTTTGGGGTTTCCTGGCAACCTCTTGGGCCCTTCGGGCGCCCTCGGGAGCTGCGGGGGCATCATTGAGGCTTCCTTGGGGTGCGAACGATCACGGGGGGTGGGGGTGGGGGGTGGGGTGGGGGTGGGGATGAATTGTGTGGGGGGGGGGGGGGGGGGGGGCTGCCGGGGCGAGCCCACTCAGAGCACATGGAACCACAACTGGAGTAAATCGCCGATGCCGTTGCGGGCGTCGACGACTCGAGGACCTCCCTCCCCTCCGGTCAGGGGGGGGATGGGCCCCCCCCCCCCCCCCCCCCCCCCCCCCCCCCCCCCCCCCCCACCCCCCCCCCCCCCCCCCCCCCCCCCCCCAACAACAACAAAATATGTGAAGAAGGAGGGGTGTTCTGGCAAACGCTCTAAACCACCGACGCCCAGGGGGCTGGTGGGACTAGGGCGAGAGGGCTGAGACGCTGATCTGCCTCCTATTCCTCCTCGCCCGCCTCCTCGTTCTCGCAATCCTATCCCTATCCCTAATTCTTCGCCCCGGGGGCGCGCGTCCAAAGTGCTCCAGTTTGTGAACTGGGATATCCGCGACGAGCGCCTAGTGCACTACGAGGTGACGTGCGGCGCCTGCAGCAATCGGCAGGAGGCAGTCAATCATGTCTTCGACGCGATCGTGGAGGGCATGGTCGCCCCCGGCTCGGGCTGCATCATCCCAGCCAAGCATCGGCCCCCGAGGGCAGAAGCCCCCCCCTCCCCGACCCGCAAAAAGACGCGAGGGCGAGGCCCAGGGACAGTGGGAGGGCCACGACGCGGGTGAGCGGACGCGGGGAGGGCGATGGCGAGGACGAGGAGGGCGACGAGGGGGGCGGCGAGGATGGCGACGATGAGGTGAACGAGGAGACAGACGCGGTGGTCGAAGGTGACGACGACGTGGGCGACAACGCGGTCGACGACGAGGACGACGGCGAGGACGGCGACGAGAACGACGACGAGGGCGACAGCGATGACGACGACAAGGGTGGCGACGAAGATGACGACGAGAACAGCGACATGTGTGACGACGAAGATGACGAGGAGGAAGACGCCGAGGGCGACGAGGCGGACGGCGAGGAGGTCGGTGAGGAGGACGGCGAGGAGGGCGACGAGGAGGGCGACGAGGATGGCGATGAGGTCGGCGATGAGGGCGCCGAGAGGCACGATGGGTTCGAATTTGACGCCGAGGAGGGGCGAGGAGTCGGGTCGGAGACGGATGTGGAGCGGGCCCAAAGGTTTGACAGCGCGGTGGCCGCGATGTGCGAGCAGCTGCCCGGCCTCATGATCTCGGGCCTCCTCAGACGGGCCTTCGTCGAAGCTTTCCCCGAGCAGAAGGACTTCATTGACGGGGTGGCCGGCGAGGACGACGACAACCGCGATCGTCGTTACATCAAAGGGAAGGTCCAGCGCAGTAGGCTGAGCCTCCAGGACAGATCGCGCTGCGCGAGGATCATCGCGCTGACTGTCTGCCTGAAGACGTTGGAATGGGCGTGGGCTCGCTTGCAGCACTTGGACAACGAGGGCGGATGCCTTATTGATGTGTGTTGCGATGACAGCCCGTTCAGGCGCGTCCAGGCTGACGTGGGGAGGGCGCTGCAGCGTGGATCCCCAGAGTTGTTATTTCTGAGGCATCATTTCGAGAACTCGCCTCGCGACCTGCAGGATGTGCAAGAGGAGTGCCTTCATACTTTGTTCTGTCTTGGCGTCTTTATATGGTGGCGATTTCAATCTGTCTTGGAGGACTGGCCATTCAGATTACTCCTGTGGGCCGCGCATTCATACAACTCTTGGGTGGTTCATGAGTTCTTCCGTGTCCCAGCGTGTTGTCTCGACGACGCTTTCTCCATTAAGTTGCGTTCTAAGTATCCATCTCCCGATGCGATGATAGCAGACAAAGATGCCAGGATAATGCTTAAACTTTGGGGCCAAGCATCCAAGGTGACGAACATGCACGTTGAACGACTGCTGGCAGCCATGGGGCAGAGCGGAGGCGATGTCCGACCGTATTTGGCAGAGAGATACTTGAGCGACGGGTACTTGACGCAGTTCATGGGGCGCCACTTATCTGAAGGCAGGCAGGATCCAACGGTGGACACGCGGTCGAGCATGATTGCGGCTGGAGTGCCCCTCCAGGCCCAGATGGATGCTTTGAGGAAGGAGGGCGAGACGAGAGGAGGATGCACGGCCTTGTTCCTTTACGCCAAGGAGCACCCGCGCCAGGATGGCGATCCAAACGACCGCGCGGAGTTCATGAAGCTCAGGGCCTCTCAGTTTGCTAGCCTGCTTCCCGGGGAGCAGAGCTCCTACAGACGGCGCGCTGGACAGCAGAGGCGCGACGCCGATGACAACAAGCGGAGATCTTCGAAGTTGAGGACAGTTGGTGGGTCCGAGGTTCAGGTGGCCGCTTGTGCTTGGGGACTGGCTACAGCTGAGATGCCCGTCTGTCCAGAGAAGTTCTTGGAGGCCGCGAGATCTCGGGCTCGGCCGCGCAGGGGCTTGCGCGATGACAACGAGGAGTCGCTAACGTTCAATAGTTGGGGATACTCTTGCAGGGAGGCTTACCAGCGGGGCTCGCTTGTCCGAGATGCAGGACACATGGGTCACTCTGAGTCCCCTTCCCATAATCTTCTCTCCTTTCCCCCTGTCCTCTCCCGTTCTCATTTCCCTCTCTACTCTCTCCTTCCTCGCGCTCCCTATTGTGTTTCCTGCCTCCCATAATCGCCTCTCGCCTGTCCCCCCACCGAATGATCTCTGTCTGCATCTCGTTGGGTGTCTGACGGCTCGCGACAATTGAGTTTACCTCAGAGGATCTATCCCGAAGGAACGGAAGTTCTCGGTGAGACAGCGATGTATGGAGGCGCACCCTGGTATCTGCCGCACTGTGGATAATTCGAACTATGGCCAGATCTGTTCAGCAGCATCCAGTTTCTACAAAATCTTGAAAGAGGACGAGCCGATTCGGAAAATCTTGAAGCTGGAGCTGGTTTGCCAGGAGATGAACATTTTGGCAACGATGTTTATGTACTGCTGCCATGTTCGAAAGCAAGATCCCCCAATTGGTCTGTTCGTTGAGCTGGGCGACTTCAATCGCGAGGGCATTGCTGTAGAGAACATCCACATTCTGAGACCTGCGTTGGAGAATAACGTTTTGAAACGGGGATCCCATCATACGTTTATCAAGCAGCTTATCGGGCACAGGAAGGGCATGCACAGCGTTGCGATAACGGTGTTGGGTAAGCCTCTGGTCTCCGCCAGGGCTGATATCGACATAGATTCCGACCGTTCTCTGGGACATATTGGTGCAGAGTCGCAAGCTGCTCCAGATCACGTCATACTGCTCAAGAAGCCCAAGGACGACGAGACGGGCGGCGTTGGTATCAAGGATGGTGAGTTCGACGACCTCAACGGGCTGGGCGACGTTATCAATGCGGGCTTCAATTCTCTGCGGCGGCCAGCGAGGCGGCTCGAGAACGATAGGGGCGAGGTCGCCAAGAAGCCTTTGCTGGACAAGTCTGCGCTTGGAGGAGCCAGCAGCGACACCTCGGATCCCCCGGAATACGTCGACGTCAGCCCGGAACGAAGTGATGATAGCGACGACAGCTTGGACGATAACGCCATGGCGATCGCCCCGAAGAAACCAGATCACAAGGTGCACAGTGCTCCAGAAGGCGCGCTGATGATTGTACCTCCTGAACTCCTCCTCCCCCATCCACCTCCTCCCGCTCTTCCTCCTCCTGACATCTCCTCCTCCACTTTCTCTTCCGCCCGCTCTCGTCCGCCGCCTCGTCCGCCGCCTCCTCCGCCTCCTCCTCTTCCTCCTCCGCGTCCTCCTGCGCCTCCTCCTCCACCGCCCCCATCCACCACCTCCTCCGCCTCCTCCTCTGCGCCGCCCGCCTCCGTTGCCTCAGCCTCGTCCGCCGCGGCCCTCGCCATCGCCCACCCCCTGCTGCCGCCCGCCTGACTCGGGCGGAGGTGGGGGCCACTCTGGCGGAGATGGCGGTTGCCCACTTGCTGGCGAAGGGCTTGATGTCGCTGTTGGAGGGCCACCTGGCGGAGATGGAGGTCCCCCAGGTGCTGCGGCAGCGCCTCCAGGTGGAGGGGGAGACGCAGAAGCGCCTGCAGGTGGAGCGGGGGCGCCCCCCGCCGGAGCGCTGGCGCCTCCAGGCGAGTGGAAGTACGTCTCCTTGGAGGGCCTGGGCGAGCTTGTCTACGACGTGACTAAGGGCAGGCTGAACGCCCATTGCAAGCACAATGAGCATTGCAAGCCTAAGGGCGTGAACTGCCACATGGATCGGATCACCAGGGTCGAGGGTCGCAAGCCGCGCAAGGGAGAAGGGCGACCCATCGGGTACCTGATGGCGTGGCTCCTGAACCAGAATTCGTTCGTGGACAAAGAGTCGCACCAGCTATTCAAGAAGGACTTGGGGAAGTCTGGCGGGTACGAGTTGCGACTTCAGGGGCGCCAGCACCTAGAGAGGCTGGCTGCGGCTCGGCCAGAGCTGCAGCGCCTGTTCGAGCTGGAGCGCGAGCCTACTGACGAGGAGAAAGCTCTTGGCGGGGAGCCGAGGGAGATCCCTTGATCAGTAATATGGTGTCGTCCTCCTCCGCCTCATCCATCTCCGTTCGCGATCCTCATCGTCTTTCCAGCGGGCTTCGTGGTTCCTCCCACTTATCTTGGGCGTCCTGGTCCGGGGCTTTCTCGCGATGTCAAGCCGCGCCTGTTGCCGTGACCGCGTCCTCGCAGGGGGCTGCAGCATGCCGGGGGGTGATGCAGTTGAGTCGGCGTTTCTTTGATCAGGGGGCCCGCAACTGATTTCCATTTACAGCGGCCCCGAGGGGGGATATGACAAGGGGCAACACAAGTGAGCATGCGACGTGGAGGATGAGGAAACGCAAGGGCCCCATCATCTGAGAAGACCCTGGCCCAGGCAGTTAGGTGTCGCCGCGGCTGGAATGTGCTCCAACATATACGCCCCCCAGGTTGGATCTCGACAGCGTGGCGCGAACTGCCCCTGCCGCTGGGATCTGGTCACGTTCGCTGCATTTGGGGCCAGGGGTCGCAGGGCAGGCATGCATCGCGCCGCTGCGGCGATCAAGGTTGAACGCGGCCAGTGCCCCAGATCAGGCCAGCGTTCAAAGATCAGGCGCGCGAGAGCTCATGGTTGGACAACCTCTGCGGTGCCAGAAACTGACATGCATGTGGCGGGGCTCGCGTTCTTGATCAGCTTGAGGTCCGTAGCCGTTTTGGCCCAAGCTTTCGAGCCAGCGCAGCGGCCGCGCGAGCGCCAAGAGTTCGAGCCATGGCTCGATCTCGCTCTCCTAGGAGGAGTGCAACAGCTGTTCCGCAGAGGGCTACAACACGGGATACGACGGCCTCGCAGAGGTCTACGACAAGGGCTCCGCCGAGGACTACAGTGACGGCTCCGCGGATGGCAACACCGACGACTACGCAGAGGGCTGGCGTGACGGCTCCGCAGATGGCTCCTTCATCGATGGCTGCGAGGTCTACAGCGACGGCTCCGCAAAGGGCTACAGCGACGGCTCCGCAGAGGGCTACAGCGACGGCTCCGCAGCCGGCTACACCAAGGGCAAGAAGGGCTCCAACCGAAGCGCTGATGTCGGCTACGGTGGTCAAGACCAAGTCCGACAGGGACGACGCGGACGTGTTCTACGACGAGTGGGGTAACCGCGTCAGGCTGCATGGCGAGAACAAGCACGGCATCTTTTCTTCTACGCGTGGTGCCCGATTTCGAGAGCCCAGGCATTGGCCCCCGTCGTCCGTATAGGAACCCCGACTACGACACGGACGGCAAGCCCTTGAAGTTGATTGGCCAGCTGGATGGCGTCTTGTACAATCTAGAGCAGGTCTTCAAGGCGCGCAGGCCAGAGACAGACCACCTGGACGTGGTCTACGGCGACGTGGAGGGCAACTACTTCCTGCTCGTCAGCGAGATGAGGGGCAGGATCTACCATCTACAGCCAATCCCCGACGCCGACAGCAAGCACCGCGACGACATCAAAGATGGCAAGGACGGCCGCGACATGAAGCTCCACAATGATTCCTTGGATGACGAGGGCGACAGCCAAGATGCGCTTCCGCGCGATCCCGCCGCCACCGCGCTTGGGCGGGCGACGCAATCGGGACTTCGCCTATGCGCGATCGGGGCACCATCGGAACACCAGCGGGACACCGTCGAGGCACCCCAGGGAGTTCATCGTTACACCGAGTGGCCTACTGGGCCACCATGCACCCGAGTAGTTCGCGCGGCCCATTACACCTGTAAGTGCTATTGCGTTGGCGGATGTATGACAGCGGAGACGCGTGGTCCGTGAGTCGAGATAGGACTTGGATTTGCGCGATATGCGCGGGTCGCCATCGCACTTCGGGATGC